CCCCGGGCCGGGGTCCAGGACCGCGGTCCGGGCGCCCGGCCCTTCCGCTGTACAGAACAGCAGCTTGCCCACAGTGGCCGTGGGTTATTAAGTTCAATTCATGAACACCCTAAAGTCGCAGCAATGCTGTAAATGATCTGCACGGCCTAGGCAGGATTAACAGGCCCAGCCAATCAGTTCAGCCCGGCTTCCTCCAAGCACTTTGATCGAGCTGACAGCTTCGGGCCCGCCTCAGAGAACCTCTGTGATGGAGCACCATGAGCCCGGCAACCGAATGGTCCCTCTGCAGAGCAGGTACCCCAGCAGTTACCTCACTCACCGGTGTGTCAGCCACCAAAGAAAAATGTCGTGTAGTTGAGGTTTAACTTATAAATTATTCATCATAAGGTGCCCATTATTCCTACAGCAACTGTTCCAATCTGTCTGCTTTTTTTTTTCAATGAAAGATGTTGTTTGTTTTATTGTTGTGTCCAAAATCGTTAGCTGCTGCGTAAATCACGTGTTTGTGGTAGAAACCCTGTTTACCGGCCACTTGCATCCTATTTCCATCAGCCAGACTTTAGGAAAATGTCTCTATATTTGTGTTGTTCTTATGGTTATAAAGAATCCCGATTTCAGTCGTGACAGTCTGCAGTAACACCCTTCCACGAGTCGAGACGGAGAGCTGGATCCCCTAGTGCCATTTCCAATGAATGGATCAGCGTGAGCGAGAGCAATCTAGGTTTTCAAGGCACGCAGAACCTTTCTGAACTCACGTTCGACCGAAGGATTAGCCTGTTTTAAAAGGCCAGTGACTCAAAGACTAGAACAAACCATGACAAGCATGTCGACTTTTGTCATACAACGTGACCTGCTGCTTCTGAAAAACCGCGACACACACAGAGACACACGAATTAACACGTAACCTGGGCCCAAGTACGAACCTCTAGAGAGGGTTTTACAATTGTAGTTTTAACTTGTAGTTAAACTGAGTTGACCGAAGAGTTTCAAAAACAAATTTAAACATTGCTAGCCAAGAGAGACGACTGAGGAAACACGAGGCCCTTATGTGAACGCGGACTGAAAATCCACAGAATCAGAAAGCAAAAAATCAAGATTGTCGCTGCCGGACGTGAACCACTGAGGTGGGAACATGCAGCGAGAAGGGAGATGCCCAGCCCTTGGTCTGTCCTGACAGGGAGAGACGGATTTTCTTGAAAAGCTACCCGATCGACATAAAAACATTTCCACTTGTTCCTGCCAGTCTGTTTTCCCGAGACATGCACATCCTCACCCACACCCACAGGACATGGAAAATACAAGGAGAGAAATACGTGAGCATACCCAAATTAAAGACTCGATGATTGGCAGTAACGACAGACACTATCAGAAAACAGCCCCATTAAAAGGCTCGAAATAAGGGCCAGCAGGTGGTGTGGTGGTTGGGGCGCTGGACTCCCACATGGCTGACTGTGGTTTGAGTCCCAGACCCGGTGACTGGCTTCCTCACCCCTCCACACCCCTGGTCAAATAAAAATAATAATAATGGTGATAAATAAGTTAAATTCCTCTTTAAAAAAAAAAGCTAGAGAGGTCTGTAACACTAAAATCAATATTTATGAATAAGTGGGTTTTCTTACCTTAAATCCAATACCTAGTTCGAGAAAGAATAAACTTTTGTCTGTTTTACTCATTTAATGAATAGTTTTCTCCCCCAAAGAAGTGCTCTGGCACGGTCTAAGCTATCTGTGTCATCTTACAATTCCATAAATATTCCCTACA